TTATGTACACACCTATATACAATATTATGTACCTATAGCATTTCTCAACCTCTAAAACCGAAAGACGACAACCAAGGGAGAGAAGGAAACTTAACTCAAATGCGATTGACGCCGAGGAGACAAATGAAGTCCACATCTCGCAGCCACGCAACACCCCCAGAATCCTCACCTAGACATAGACAATCGGCAAAAAGCGCGAAACTCTACACAGGGGAGGGTGCCGAGATACCCGGAGGTACGAGCCGTGTGACTGGTGATGTCGGCGCCGGGAAGTGCTGGAGGGTCGACTGAGAAGAGGCGGGATGTGAGAAGAGCCGAACCCTTGCTGGAGGAATTTGAGGATTCTCTATAGTAAGATTTTTTTTAGAGCATGCTTGTATACAAAAAATTTTCACGCAAAGTATATTTTTTTGGTTAACTAGGGTTAATTTGAAAAAAAAAATGGTATGATTAATTGTTAAAGAATTTTAGATTTATATTAAATAATATTTAAAATAAAATAATTAATTTTTTTTGACGCAAAAATAGTATGAAGTGATGATTAGTTAAAATTATGTGAGTGGATGAATAGTGAATTGAAGTAGATTTGATATGTAAGAATGATTGCATTATAATATTTAATTATAGTGATAATATTGAGGATATTCCAATTGGAGAAAATTTTATCGTAGGGTTTGACTTTTTATTATTGTGTGACAGTAAGACCTGAATTTTTAATTTTTTCATTTGAGGGTTTCAATTTTAAGTTATTCTTAATTAAAGGCATAATTTTATATTCTACTTTTCAATTTAAGACTCCAAATCACTTTGTATTTTTGCATAAATACGTAAACCAGAATATTTTTAATAAAATTACTTTAGTAAAAAAATTAGCTCATTTAAGAGAAATTAATTTTACATAAATCTAGCTTATTTAAATTAATTTTCTTACGAAACTAGTTTTACAAATATATTTAATACTTTTTATTATAGGTATTAATTTTATATATTCTTAACTTTTTCAAAAGTATAAATTTTTATACACAGATAATAATTTCTATAAGTTTATCACATATGCAGATTAAAATAAATTTACTTTTCTTTTTACTTTTAAAATAAATTTCATTAATTTTTTTCATAAATGTAATATATTTAACATTTTTCATTATAAGTACTTAAAATAAATTAAAAAACAAAAGTATCGTGGGCTACATAAATATATTAAAATACAATATGATTTGGAGTCTTAAATTGAAAGTAGAATGTAAAATTATGTCTTATATTGAGAATAACTTAAAATTGAAACCTTCAAAATAAAAAGTTAAAATTTTAGACTTATTGTGACACAATTACAAAAAGTCAAAACATGCAATAGAATTTCTCACTGAAATTGAATTAAAGTTGAGTTAAATGTTAAGTGAAAATTTTTTTATACAGACATGCTCTAAGTTTTCTAGTTCAATAATTCAAAACCGAACTTTTACTGCATGCTTTTTCTAAAATTAGTTAACATGATCGTAGTTCACGTATAAGTCGTAGTCAAAATATTTACTTTCACCACACATGGGCATGTGAAACGGTCAGCGTTTTTCACTATTAGATACACTTGTAGGTTATATTGTGTGAATAATCAACGGTGCCAAACACTGACAGAACCATATACAAATGTAGGTTATATTGTGTGAATAATCAACGGCGACAAATACTGACGGAATCATTCCGTCAACAGGACCTTAGCATTCCCAGTATATTTATAAGCCAACTTTATTAGTTAATATTGAGTAATCAATATTTGTACCTAGAAGGATTAAATTTTGGGGCACGTACATATGGGCAGAAAATTGCACACGTAAAATTTTTGGAATCAGATATACGAAGGACCACAATTACACGAATAAAGTTCAAGATTATACAAAGAAAACTACAATATTTACATGACCAAAATTAATTGGTGAAATAAA